AACCTTTCAAAGCCAGGGCCATCTGGTATTCCAGTCACAAGTATGATATTAGAACTTTCCAGGGTTCTAGAGATTTCCAGTCTGGATACTTTGTTAATGTCCCTGTCTTTCCAGGCCTGTATCTGATTCCCCAGAGTTATATAGCTTCATTATTAGTCTTAAAGGAAAAGCTTATCAGAATATCTCTGCATGTATATTATCTCCTCTGACATTCCCCATTGACATCAACAGAATTTTGGAGCCAGAACAAATCTTAGCGATCATTTAGTATAGCCTCTTGATAGGGGCAGCTAGATGGTGCAGTGGATAGAGTGCCAGGCCTGGAGTCAGGAAGACTCATCTTCCTGAGTTCAAATCTAGCTTCAGACACTATGTGACCTTGGCAAGTCACTTAACCTTGTTTGCCTCAGTTTCCTCATCTGTAAAGTGAACTGGAAAAGGAAATGGCAAACCACTCCAGTATCTTTGCCAAGAAAACGCTAAATGGAATCATGACTGAAAAGAGTTAAACATGACTGAAAAATAATTGAACAACAAATTTCATTTTATAGATGAGAAAACCAAGGCCCAGATAATGGAACATCCCCCAGGAAGTTAGAGATGTGTTGTTGAAGCCACACTCCTTCCTAGGTTTCCTCCAGTGCTTTTCTTTTTCTCCCTCCTCCCTCCCTTCTCCATTCCTATACCCTTTTCTTTCCATTGCCTTGCTCTCCTTTAAACTTATTCCTCTTTCTTTTGTAAGCTAAGTCCTGAAAGCAATTCTACATTCATGTCGCCTTCCTGTGGGAGAAATTATTCACATTTTACTCAATTCTGCCTTAGGATCCCTAGCCCAGGACTGAACTATGTTCTCCTATTGCTTGCTGTCCAGTGGTGGTGAAGTCAGAGATCTTAAGTGATTGGGTTAATTGGGGCTAGAATAAGCTTTGAGAGGCATGCTAATACTTTCCTTCCTTGACCCTTTAATCACTTTAGGGACCTGGTAAAGGAAAAGCAAGCAGGTGTTCTCACCAAATTTATTTCATTCACAGGAGTCATATAATCTTTATGGGGTGCACCCCTTCTACCTGAATATGGAGGAGGCAGGAACCACTCATGGTGTTTTCCTCCTGAATAGCAATGCCATGGGTAAGTGGGGAATTTCGTTGCTCTGGAGCATCTCCTTGGGTGCAGTCCTCAGGACATAATAGCTTCTATACCATTAGAGTGATCAGTAAGTATCTACTGTGTGCCCACTATGTAGAAGCACTGTGCTGGGTGCTGCGAGTGGCAGCACAAAAATGACTAAGACAGATTCCTTTCCCTCGAGAGGCAATGGTACTAAGGCATACATGAATGAAAAGTTAAATAACGGTAAAAGACAACATTTGTGAAAGGGAGATTAGATTATGTGGAAGAGAAATTGGATCACATGAAAGAGATTAGATTTGTTTTGTTAATCAATCAATAAGCATTTATTAAGCACCTACTATGTATGAGGCACCTTCCTAAGTAATAGTTATATAAAGAGGTAAAAGACAGTCCCTGCTCTCAAGGAATTCACAGTCTAATGGGGGAGAAAACATGTAAACAATTATGTACAACTAAGATAACAGAGGATTTTGTTGCTGTTGTTCAGTTTTTTCTGACTCTTTGTGACCGCATTTGGGATTTTCTTGGCAAAGATACTGGAGTGGTTTGCTGTTTCCTTCTCCAGCTCATTTACAGATGAGGAAACTGAGGTAAACAGGGTTAAGTGACTTGCCCAGAGCCAGACAGCTAGTGTGTGAGGCCACATTTGAACTCAAGTCTTCCTAACTTCACACCCAGTACTCTGTCCATTTCACCACCTAGCTGCCCGTCAGTACCGGATAAATTAGAGTTAATATCAGGCACTAGAATTAAGGCGGATTGGGAAAAGCTTCTCAGAGAAGGTGTGATTTTAGCTGGGACTTAAAAGAAACCAGGAGGGAGAGATGAGAAGGGAAAGTCTTCCATGTGTGGAGCACAGCCAGTGAAAATGCCTGGAGTCTGGAGATGGAGTGTCTTATCTGAGGAACAGCAGGGAGGTCAGTGTCACTGGTTTGAAGAGTCTGTGGGGAGTCTGAAATGTGAGAAGACAGGAGGGGGCCAGTTTATGAAGGGTTTTGAATACCAAACAGAGGTGTTTCTATTAGAGTGACGTGGTCAGATGAGTACTTTGGGAAGATTAATTTAACAACTGAGGAAAGGTGGCTGGAGTAGGGAGAGATCTGAGGCATGGACACCCATTAGCAGGCTATTGCAATAGTCCAAGCTTGAGACGATGCAGGCTTGTGCCAGGTTAGTGGCAGTGTCAGAGGAGAGAAGGGGTATATATGAGAGATGTTACAAAGGCAAAATCAATTAGAATGCTAATCGAATGAACAAATCCAGGAAAGAAAGGAGGGAGAACACTCTTTGCGGGGGATACCAAAGAAGGGTTGGTTAGTTGTTACACCCAAAGCTTTCTTTTTGATTTGGTTAGACGAATGTAGAAGGTCTGGGATCTTTACTGCAGAGACCTTCTGGTCTTGAATATAACCAGGGAAGGGGCCAGTGTTTCAGGGCTAATTTGGGGCAAGAGAAATAGCCCAAGACCAGAAGGTAGCTGCCTGGCTGCCTCAGAGAACTGAGACATCTGTTTCCTGACTTGAGCCTGGTTCTTTAGCAATTTTTGAGCAGTTTAACCACACGCACACACAGTTGCTGAATCATTTGCTTAAAATTCCACTTTCCCTTGTGCCCTTCCTCTGGCTCTCTGCACCTTTCTGACCCCTTCCCCCACTGCCTCAGTATCCTCAGAGAAGTGTTTTCAAGCCCTTGGGGAAGGGGCAGCTTCTGGTTTGGAGATAGAAACCCACAACGTGCTCTGCACACAGCTGGGCCCTCCTGAGGATGAGCTGTGGCCTTTGGAGAACTTCTCGGAGTCAACTGCCCAACTGCTGGACAGGGGAGTGAGTTTCCTCATGCCTCCTCTCTTCCTTTGGGGGATGAAATATGGCGCCCCCGTCTATCCCAGAGCAGGAGCTGCTGATCTCCTGACCTAAGATTTGACCAGCTGGTGGAAGCCATTTAGCGATGAATATGAATCTTGTTGTAAAAATACGGCTTATTATTATCCACATTTAGACATACAGAAAGAAGGTCCAGGTTCTAGACCTGCGTTTTCTACTAATTTGCTGTGTGAGTTTGGGCAAATCTCTTTACCTTCCTGGGCCCTAGTCTCCTCATCTGTAAAATATTGTTTCCCTCAATGAGCTACTTGAGGGGAGGGACTCTTTTATTTTTTGTCCTTGCATCTCTATGGTACCTGTCATTTATAAGTCTCTGAATAAATGCATGTTGAGTGATGAATGAATGCATTTAGGCATCTAGTTGGGGTAGTGGATGCAGAGCGAGAGTGGGAGTCAGGAAGACGTGAGACTGCCTCAACGCTTCCTAGCTGTGTGTTCCCGGGCAAGCCAGTTAACCTCGCGCTGCCTCAGTTTCCTTATCTGTAAAATGGGCATAATAATAGCAGTTATCTCAAAAGGTTGTTATGAGTATCAACTGAAGTAATATTTGTAAAGATCTCTGCCAACTTCAAAGTGCTATATAAATGTTAACTGTTACCATCCTTGTTATGAGTGAAAAGATTGTCACATCTGATGCCCTTTTCAACTCTGACATTCTCTGGTTCTCTGATACCCAGTAAAAAAGTATATTCAATAAACACACAGCGTGTTAACAGCTGATGTTCATTTAAGATGTACAAAGTGCTTTGCACACATTAACTCATCTGATCCTCATAATAACCCTGTAAGATAGGGAGTACAAATGTTAATATATCCATTTTACAGATGAGGAAACAGGTTTAGTGGGATGAAAGTAACTTGCCCAGATCACATGGTTCTGGTTCAGTGGCTCACCTGGCTCTTAATCCACTACCCTATGGGATGCTAAGTATCCTCAGAATTGGCTTCTTGAGTGAGCAGGTCAAGGCTTATTATTCCCATTTCACAGATAGTAAGTATCTGAGTCTAGATTCGAATTTAGGTCCTCCTGACTCAAGGCCCTGTGCTCTATCTACTGCGCCACCTGGCTGAATCACAGTAGGATGATATTAACTTCTGTTCCCTATTTCTTTCCCAAGAGGTGGTTCTGCAGCCTGCTCCCGCGCTGACATGGAGGACTGTGGGGGGTATTCTGGATTTTTACATCTTCTTGGGGCCAGATCCAAGCTCTGTTGTCCAGCAATACCAGCAGGTCATCGGTGAGTATCCCCACCTGTTTCTCCTCTACTTCTCCTTTTTTGCTCTGGTTTTCAGTGTCACCTTTTCCTAAAATCCTGCCTGGAGGGACCTTGGTGTCTGCCCTCAGTCCTATCCATCATGACGCAGTCACCTCCTCAGATTCTCTCCGAGTCATCACTGCTGCCTCGTCTTTCTCCGTCAGCAAGGTGGTTGTTGCTGTAGAAGTGCCAAGCTGGCTAGAATCCATAGTGAAGACAGGAGAAATGGGAAGGGAGGGCAGGAAATTCAGTTATCTTTCAGTAAATATGCATTACAGACAAGTTTCCAAATTGCGCATGAAAAGGAGCTGGCAGGGATCTCTCATGAATCCTTAAGGACAGCGGTCTGTCCCACTGATTTGGGCTTAGAGAATACCCTTGGAGTAGCTTGTAAACTTTTGTGTACAGTTAAGTTTAGAGCACCCTAAAAAGAAATTTGGCATTTGCTCAGTGGCCTAAATATTTTTTAAACTTTTCCAAGGTGAGGTAGCAGCAATAGCCCTGGAAATGCTCCCCAGTGGTCTGGCCTCTCAGATATTAATCCAGTCTTCTCTGTCTACCACCCTCTTATCCAAGGACTAGTCATACTCAATGTGGACTCATTGAAGGTCAGCCATATTGGAAAAGAGAATGGAAGATATGGGAGAGATTCAGGTAAATAATAATTCCCTCTTCCAACATGGCTGACCTTCAATGAGTCTAGCCTCTCTCCCTTTTCCTTTTCCTTTTTTTAAATATGGAACACTTCACGACTTTACATGTCATCTGTGTGCAGGGCCATGCTAATCTCTGTACTGTTCCAATTTTAGGACATGTGCTGCCAAAGAGAGCACCTCCCTCTCTATTTCATGAGGGCAGCTAGAGGATGAGCTGGCTGCCCCTTCAAGTAGTACTTCAGCAGTGTGTGACAGCTGGCTGACTGGCATCTTTGGCTCAGATTTTTCTATGTGGAAGACAAACCCCAGGCATGGGCATAAGGAGTCTGGAGTGCATGTCCTTGGACAAGATGTTCTCCCCAGCCTCCCTCTGCCCAATATAAGCTTTTGCCCTGTTATAGAGGGATATGAGAAGCTGAGGAACCATTTCATCATTCATCCACTCACCAAATATTTATTAGAACATTATACTAAATGTTAAGGGAAATGTAAATTTTAGAAAGCAAAAATCTATTTTTTTCTCCCTCCCACCTCTCTCGCTTCTGAAAAAACAATAACAACTCTAACAAATATGCATGGTCAAGCAAAACAAATTTCTGCACTGTACTCACACACACACACACACACGTACACACATACACACATAAACATGCACATAAAACCCTTCAAGCAGCTAGGTGGCACAGTGGATAGAGCACTGGGCTTGGAATCAGGAAGACTCATCTTCCTGAGTTCAAAGGCAGTCTCAGATACTTACTAGCTGTGTGACCCTGGGCAAGTCACTTCACCCCATTTGCCTCAGTTTCCTCATCTGTAAAATGAGCTAGAGAAGAAAATGACAACTTACTACACCTTCTTTGCCAAGAAAACCCCAAAATGGGGTCAGGAAGAGTCAGGTATTACTGAAACTACCAAAGAACAACAAAAATATAAAGCCCAATACATACATACATGTATGTATATATGTATATATATATGAATAGTCTGTGTGTGTGTGTGTGTGTGTATGTAGTCTAATTCTGCATCCTGATTCCATTGCTTCTCAGCAGGGGGTAGCAGTCATTGCATTATTAGAGTTCTTTAAAAAGTCTTTTTGGCTTCCAGTCTTTCTTCCTAGCTGCTCTTCACTGAATGATGCTAGAATAATCTTTATTGTGCCTTAATTTGTTCACAGGATTTCCCTTCTCAAAAACCTGCTGTGGCTCACTTGTGCACGCAATTGCAGGGTAGCGGGGTTTGAGTTACTTTACCTGGCTTTCAGAATCCTCCTCAGTTTGATGTCACTACATCATTCTCACCTTATCTCACAGTACTACTCTCCATAAGGTCTCCATGTTCCCCAGATGTACCATTGTGCCCTCCCTCCGCCTGTGTCCCTTCAGCCATCTTTAGAATGAATCTTTGCCTAACTGAGTTCTTGGCCATCCTTTAAAGCCCATTTCAAATCCTGCCTCCTTCATGAAGCCTTCCTTAATCCTTCCCCTCATTTCTTTCTATCTGCCCATACCTGATCAGTAATGAACTTAGGGGCAGCTAGGTTGCTGGAGTGCCCAGCCTGAAATCAAAAAGACTCACCTTTTGAGTTTAAATCTAGCCTCCAACACTTAATATGTGACCGTGGGCAAGTCACTGAACCCTTTTCGCCTCAGTTTCCTCATCTGTAAAATGAGCTGGAGAAGGAAATGGCAAACCACTCTGGTATCTTTGCCAAGAAAACTCCAAATGGGGTCATGGAGAGTCAGACATAACTGAACAGCAGAACAACAGCAATAATGAACTTTACCCATTGATTCACTTAGCACTTTGTTTTATAACTTGAATATGGGTTGGGATGGGATGAGCCTGGACCTATGATTTCATAGGTCTAGGGAACTCACGATGAGGAAATTTCTTCTACCAGTGCCTAGGACATTGAGAGGTTATGTAACTTGCCAGGGATGACCCAGCCAGTATGTATCAAGGTTGAGTTTTATTCCAGGTTTTTCTGGCACTAAGGTCATCTTGCTCTGTACTATGCTGTGCTGACTCTTCTGGTAGCTTCTTCCTAAGTCGGTCCATTCCACTTTTAGATAATTCTAATTGTTAGGAAGTTTTGAGCTGAAATCTATTTATAACTTCTACACACTGTTCCTAGCTCTGCTCAATTGGATCTAGCACACTATGTGTAATCCCCCTTTGGCATTGCCATACCTGAGGACAGCTCTCATGTCTTGTCCAGGTTAAACATCTCAAGTTCCTTCTATCAATCCTTTGATGTCATGAGCTACTGTCTTTTCACCATCATTACTGGCCTACTCTGGAAGTGGTCCGGCTTGTTAATGTCCTTTTAAATGGTGGCACCTAGAACTGAACATGGTACTCTAGATATGGACAGGCTATTATGCAGTCTAGATCCAAGGTTTTTTTTTGGTTTTGTCTTCTATGTCTTATAATTGACTCATATTAATCTTGCATTTAATTAAATCCCTAGATCTTTTCAATTGAAACATTTTGTCTAACTATATGCTATTTTCCACGTATGTAGCAGATTTTTTTATCTCCAGATTTTTAAGTTCTTGAGATGATGACAAGGCATATGGTTCAAAGGAAGACTGTGACCAGTTATGTAGGTCATGGAAGAAGTTGGGAAAATCAAATGACCTGAAGGTTAGAAGAAGACAGAAATAAGGATGGGGGGCAGGTGGTATATGTACATTGTATGGACCTCAAGAAATGAAAGGTCATTGAAAGATGATGGTATAAAAATGGTCTGAATGTTCAGTAGAGATCAAGGATTAAAGTCTGTCCCTATGGTGAGGAGGATCAGTTTCCAATGAAGAGAATTCCAAGAGAAGGAGTGCTATCAGGTCTGAGTGAAGGCAAGAAGACAGAGGAAACACTGCTTGAAAAGTTCAAGAATGTAAGAGAGTTTGTTGAGAATAGCAGCTAGGTGGTGAAGTACATAGAGTGCCAGATCTGGAGTCAGGAAGACTCATCTTCCTGAGTTCAAATCTAGCCTCAGACACTTACCAGCTGTGTGACCCATGGCAAGTCATTTAATCCTGTTTGCCTCAGTTTCCACATCTGTAAAATGATCTGGAGAAGGAAATGGCAAACCCCTCCACTATCTCTGCCAAGAAAACCCCAAATGGGGTCATGAAGGGTTGGACACGGCTGAAACAGCTGAACGACAAATTGTTGAGATTAGAACAAGAATTTCAGGAGTTATGGTGTAACAATCTATGAAGTGTATAAACTGAATAGGAATGGGCCTGGGAAGGATTAGCATAGTGGTGTTTAGAAGAGGAAGGAGGGCTGAGAAGGAGGTGGTGCGGACATGCTGTCTGGAGGTGGTGAGGCTAAATGACGAGGGTTAAGGAGCTAGTACAGTGTGAGGTGGTTTGGTGTTGTATCATATCTAGCTCAGCTCCCTAATTTTCTAGTCGAGATATTGAGATCCAGAGAAATTAAAATGATTTGTCCAAGGTCACATAGCCAGGATTTGAACCTGGGTCCTATGACTTCTGATCTAGCACTCTTTTGGACCATGTAACATGTACCATGTTGTCTTCCTTAGCAAGCTCCATGGGCAGAATTTAACCAATAGGACACTTGCATAATTAATGTGCCCCAGGATTTGAAAGAGAATCTGGAACACTAGCATTTTGGAATGTTCCCCTGAGAAGTCTTGTTCTCAGGTACACTCTTACTGCTTTCCTCTTATTGTGGAAGAGAATCTTTCAGTCTCTAGAAGGGGAGGTAGGAACACTGGAACAGGTGGTCTCTTAGATGGGGAGATCCATTTGGAGACTTAACCCTAGTCATGTGAATGCTGCTGTTTCCCAGGGCCATTTTCCTCCCTTCCATTTTTTTTTTCAGAAAGAAAATCCCATTGTTTGTTTATAATGTCTCATTCTGCCTAACTCCCAAAGACAGGGAAGTTCTAGCTGCCATCCTTTTAGACCTCTTTGATTTCTCCACCATGCCCCCAGGAACGTCACCTTTGGGAAACCTCACCATCCTTAAAGAGCCAATCAACTTTGGTCCTCACATCTCCTCAATACCCTCTGCCTCTCTGATTGGAGGACAGAGCCATGAATTCTTACATCTCCATTTCAGGAGGAGGCCCAGGAGTGCCATCTCCTCATTTCCCATGGGACTGCATTCCTTTGGGATTTCTTTGACTCCTCCGTCATTCTCCTCCCTCTTCCTTTGAACTTTACTTTGTGTGTTTTCTTCCCTCATTAGATTGTAAGCTACTTGAGAACAAGGATTCTTTTTTTTGTATTTGTATCTCCAGTGCTATGGCACATGGCATATAGTAGGTGTTTAGTCAATGTCCAATGACTGATTGGTTTTTTAAAATAAAATTTTATTGCTATTTTATTTGTACATTTCTCATGTATCTTTCTTCCCTGCCCCTCCTCTCCCTGAGCAATCCCTCATATCAAAGGATTAAAAAAGGGGAAAATAGTTTGGCAAAACAAAAAACAAAATAAAAAGAATTTGACATTGTATTTGGTGTTCCTGATCCATAGATTTTCCCTCCCTCCCTCCCTGCAAGGAGTCTAGCTGATGTGAGAGGAGTGTAGGGAGGATGTGCCTTCTTATATCTCTTCTTTGGGCACAAATCTGGTAAATATCTTCTGATAATATTCACTTTATTGTTGCATTGTTGTTGTTCTTTCCATTTAGATCATTGTAGTTGTTTATGTTGTTTTCCTGGTTCTGCTTATTTTACTTCATATCAGCTCGTACATGTCTTCCTATGCTTCTCCTTATTTATTCATCATAGTCATTTCTTAAAACACAGCAATTTTCTATTATCTTCCTGTACCATAATTTGTTTAGCCAGTCTCCAATTGATGGTATTTAATTTGCTTCTTGTTCTTTGCTACCACAAAAAGGGCTGATATAATTATGTTGGTGCATGTAAGGGAGCTGACCTACCCATTTCACTCAGGGAAGATTTGAACAACTGAGTCACATATTTAGTCCCCTTCCATCAGTCAGGAGCCCTTCCAGTCGCCATCCTCACCATACTGACAAAGTGCCATCATTTCAGGCTTCCCTACTATGCCACCTTTCTGGGGACTTGGTTTCCATCTTTGCCGCTGGGGTTATGGTAGCAGTAACCAGACATGGCAGACGGTGAAAAACATGAGGAGCTATCTCATCCCACAGGTAAGGTCAGCCCA